TTCATGCCTGGGCATGGGCTGGTGAGAGAGCAAAGGGTGGGTCCACATGAATCTGGAGTTCTCGACCAGAAAAACCACCCAGCCCACATTCCGCCCACGGGACTAAGGGAATTAGCTCTGTTGTGGGAGGGCCACCTATTGTAAGGTTGGTGGCAGGACTCAACTGTATGCTCTCTTAGGACTACGCTGGGGACAAGGAGAGCAGTGTGGGAAGAGGAGAACAAGAGGGGCAGGTGGAGTCCAGGGCTGCTCAGCCACGCCACTGTGCGCTCTCTGGCCTGCTCTGGGGAAGCTGGCACCAGGCCTCTGTTAATTGTAGTGACAAAGGTAGAGGTTAGCAGCTGAGCCCCACCCAGGTGCCAGGTGAGGACGGGGTGTGGGCACTGGGCAAGCCTTCGAGTGAAGTTAAGTAGCCTTAACAGGTGCCAGCAGTTACATGCCCAACTGCCTTTTGCTTTCCCTACTAACCTTTGCTCAGGCCAGGAGTCTGCCCTTCCTCCTCTGCCCGTCTCAGTCCCAGCTAAGAACTCTCCTCTGCTCACAATGGCTCCCAGGAAGTCTGAGCGCAGCCCAAGCCTGGAGCCCTAGAGCCTGTAGCCCCCACCTGCCCTGCTGTCACAGCAAGTGTTACAGCGGTGGTCCCCAGGACAAACCAAGTAGCACACGGAGAGTGAGAGAATCAAAGTTTATTTTGCCAGCGGGCTCAAAGGAGCCTTGCCACCAAATTCTGAGCACCGTCTGCCCAATTTTTCCCACTGTTATTAAGTTGCGGTGGGGTATCAAGTGTAGGTTAGTTGATGTGCCAGGTAATAGGTTAATCTTTTTTTTTTTTTTTTGAGACAGAGTCTCGCTTTGTTGCCCAGGCTAGAGTGAGTGCCATGGCGTCAGCCTAGCTCACAGCAACCTCACACTCCTGGGCTCAAGCAATCCTGCTGCCTCAGCCTCCCAAGCAGCTGAGACTACAGGCATGCGCCACCATGCCCGGCTAATTTTTTCTATATACATTAGTTGGTCAATTAATTTCTTTCTATTTATAGTAGAGACGGATCTCACTCTTGCTCTGGCTGGTTTCGAACTCCTGACCTTGACCAATCCGCCTGCCTCGTCCTCTCAGAGTGCTAGGATTACTGGCGGGAGCCACTCTCCTAGCCTGGGCCTAGGTTAATCTTATGTTGATGCGCCAGACAATAGATTTAGTGTTATGCTGATGCCAGGCAATAGACTAGTTGATGGGCCAGGAAACGGGTTAGTATCATGCTGATGTGGGTTTTCCGTGAGTGGAGGGGGGGTCTCTGGTGCCTGAGGTGCCAAGTAATAGATGGGGGTTTCCCTTATCACCGCCCCCGCTGAGCCCACCCCCACCGCTGGCTCAGCTCCTCTTGGGTGTTGAGGCCTGCCCTGTACAGCCTTGGCTTTGCTTTTTAAGTTTATTCGAAAGGTATCTAGAGCAATAGCGCTTTAAAGAAAACAAAACAAAACAATTCACCAGGTTTTATCTGCTTAAAAGAGTGTGGCCCCTCAAATGCTTATACCTGTTTCATCCATGTATTTATTTATTTAGTTAGTTTTAGAGACAGGGTCTCACTCTGTCTTGCCAACTCAGGACACGGGGAAGCAGGGGGTAGGGGTGGGGGTTGGGGGGGGGTTAAGACTTGTTTCCAAGACAAAGCTCTAAAATTACTGTCAGTGAAACTTAAAAGACAATTTGCATATAAGGGAGGTGATTGGTCACCTGAAAAGTGAGGAGAGAGAGAGATCTTGTAAATGTTTGAAGACATTTGGGGAACTCCCAGCCAATCAGGTTTCTTGGGCCTCAGCCCCAGAGAGGCCAAGGTGGACCTCAGGGATCTGTATTACTTTTTATTTTTGAGACAGAGTCTCACTTTGTTGCCCAGGCTAGAGTGAGTGCCGTGGTGTCAGCCTAGCTCACAGCAACCTCAATCTCCTGGGCTCAAGCGATCCTACTGCTTCAGCCTCAGGCGCGAGCCACCAGCCGGCTGGAATCTGCATTTCAAACTAGTGTCCCAGATGAATCTGATGCAGGTGGCCAGTCACCCTTAAGGAACACTGGGTCCTCCCCTAGAAATATGGCCAGAAGGTGAGGGATACAGGTAAGAAAGTTGGAATCTGTCTGAAGAAATGTAGGGAGCATAGGAAGGGGGTGCCCCATGTGCACTGCTGGTGAGAATACAAAATCGTGCAGCCACTGTGGGAAACAGTTGATGGTTTCTCAAAAATTTACGTGTAGAAATTACCATATGACTCAGCAGTTTCACTCCTAGGTATATACCCAAAGAAACTGAAAATAGGTAGTCAAAATGAATACATGTACTTGCAGGTTTATAGCAGCCCTAGTCACAATGGTCAAAAGGTGGAAAACACCTGAATGTCCATCCAACACATGGATGAACCTTGAAAACGTTATACTAAATGGAAGAAGCCAAACACAAATGGTGACATATTGTGATTCCATTTACATAAAATGTCCAGAATAGGGAAATCCATAGAGATAGCAAGTGGACTGGTGGTTGCCAGGGCTGGGGGAGAGGGTATAGAGTAACTGCTTGATGGATATGTGTTTCCTTTTTTTTTTTTTTTTTTTGAGACAGAGTTTCCCTTTGTTGCCCAGGCTAGAGTGAGTGCCATGGCGTCAGCCTAGCTCACAGCAACCTCAAACTCCTGGGCGCAAGCAATCCTGCTGCCTCAGCCTCCCGAGTAGCTGGGACTACAGGCATGTGCCACCATGCCCGGCTAATTTTTTCTATATATATTAGTTGCCAATTATTTATTTTCTATTATAGTAGAGATGAGGTCTTGCTTTGCTCAGGCTGGTTCGAACTCCTGACTCGAGCAATCGCCCGCCTCGGCCTCCCAGAGTGCTAGGATTACAGGAGTGAGCCACCGCGCCTGGCTGATATGTGTTTCCTTAGGTAATGAAAATGTTTTAGAACTAGAGAGCGGTGGTGATTGTACAACACTGTGAATATACCCCTAAACTGTTCTTTTAAAAATGATTAATTTTATGTTATGCGAATTTCACTCCACTAGAAGAAGAAGGAAAAAAGAAACAGTGAGGGTGCCAAGGTCAAGGAGTTGGCAGGATTATGCGGCACTGCCTAGAGGAAGCAGACGTAGATTGGAGGGCAGAGGAACGAACACACCCTCTTGTAAAACTGGGAAGGAGTGCCCGATGTCCCCACCCCTCCTGGGGAATTGCTCCTCTTACTCTGGGACCCCTTTGTTCTGATTTCCTACTCACTGAGCAGCCTAGGGATTGTTACTGAGATCACCCAGGGACGAAGGAAATGGCTGTGACTTTGGCTTTGTGATGCATACAGGTCTCCACTGAGCCCGCAGCCTGCGGTAGAGAGTACCACTTACAGTATTGTCCGAGAATTGTTGATTTGTTCAGCAAATATTTAAGTGCTGCCTCTGTGCTGGTTTTAGGTTCTGGGAATTGAGCATTTCAATGCGATGCCCTCAGGAGACTTACCTTCTGGTGATTTGCAAGCCGGAGGAAGTCAGCATAGTGAAGGTCAAATAGAATTGCCCAATAAATGCAGCATTATATCACTATTCTCACTCCAGGATAAGACATTTTTGTGACGATTCTGAGAATTCATTCTTCTCTGTCTCCTCCTCCGATTAGCTGCCTGTACCTTTTACCTAGTTGTACCGCTCCCACTCATCCTGTCGTCAAAAACTGCAAGGGGGTCTCGGCCTAGTCCACTTACAAAGATGCAATTATTGAGACAAGGATTGCCAAGGAAGAAAGGAATTTTTTTTTTCTTTTTCTTTTTTTTTTTTTGAGACAGAGTCTCGCTTGTTGCCCAGGCTAGAGTGAGTGCCGTGGCGTCAGCCTAGCTCACAGCAACCTTAACTCCTGGGCTCAACAACTTCTGCCTCAGCCTCCCGAGTAGCTGGACTACAGGCATGCGCCACCATGCCGGGCTAAATCTTTACAGTAGTTAGGTATATATTAGTTGGCCAATTAATTTCTTTCTATTTATAGTAGAGACGGGGTCTTGCTCTTGCTCAGGCTGGTTTCGAACTCCTGACCTCGAGCAATCCGCCTGCCTTGGCCTCCCAGAGTGCTAGGATTACAGGCTTGAGCCACTGCGCCCGGCCAGGAATTTTTAATAGTAAGATTTCTAGGCCTGGCAAGGTGGCTCACGCCTGTAATCCTAGCCCTCTGGGAGGCTGAGGCAGGAGGATAGCTCAAGGTCAGGAGTTTGAGACCAGCCTGAGCAAGACCCCGTCTCTACTAAAAAAATAGAAAGAAATTAGCTGGACAACTAAAAATACATATATATATAAAAATTAGCCGGGCATGGTAGCCCATGCCTGTAGTCCCAGCTACTCAGGAGGCTGAGGCGGGAGGATGACTTGAGCCCAGGAGTTTGAGGTTGCTGTGAGCTAGACTGACGCCATGGCACTCTATCCTGGGCAACAGAGACTCTGTCTCAAAAAAAAAAGAGAGGGGTGAGGAGAATTACATAATTGTTTTGGGATAATTATCCTTGGCTACGGGGATAGAGAACAAGGTTGGTGCCAGTCCAAGGTTGGACAGGCAGTTGCTATGCAGATGTCCTCACAAAGTATTTTTTTGTGTAAGGCTGCAATGGCCTTTGTGCAAGTTTGTGGCTTCTGCAGAGTCTTTGCGATAGTTCTTGTTATTGGGCATTTGTGCGTGAGATCCCTCCCTTCATGGCCTTTAGCTAAACATGTGACTCCATCTTGATTCCGGCAACTTTCATGCAGTCATCTGTGAGTGTTCATCAGGCTGTAGGATCACGCTCTGTGTGTTTATTTTTCTGTATGTATTTTACGTCAAGCAAAAATGAAAATGAAGATGGGGCGAGTTTGCTTAGACATTTGTACAAAGATGCTTTTTTCAATACTCTTTTATATTAAAAATTAGAAACAGCCTGCAAATATACACAGTAAAAGATTGGTCAGGTACCTTTTAGTATACCCATAAAACAGAATATTATACATCATTAGGAGTGTTGAAAAGATGTATATTTATTCACTTAGAGGTATTAAGTAAACAACATAATGTGAAATAAGTTAGGAAAGAAAGTATATTCCAAAATATTAAAAGTGATCATTTCTGGGCAATATAAAAATATGCAGAATATTAATAAAGTTTGCTAATCGGAGGAGCTTGTTAGATACACATTCCTGAGCCCCTACACTCAGAGACTCATTCAGCGTCCCCCTAAGCCCCAGCCACACACATCTATCCAGGCTAATTTCTATGCATAGTGTGGTCCCTACCATTCTAGGGGGCCTTTGAGAATCAGATATAGAGTAAGGCTCCTCTTTCCTGAAAAGTAAATGGACACACCAAATCTCAGATGCAATTCGGGAGTGGTTCACAACTCCAGCCAAGCGGTAGTTACCCCTAATGCAGAAGAAGTCTGTCCCTTCTCCTTTTCCTCTTGTTCCCATTTTTCCTCAGAAGACCCCTTTGCTCCCAACTCCCTAAAGGCTGAGACCCTCTGCCAGGCAGCACAGGCCCCTGGGCGGTCGCCAGGTCACTGCACAGCCCTTTTGTGTCTCTGTCAGGGCCACGGACGGCGTCCAGAGGGGCTGTACGGTGGCATCTGCAGGCACGGGGCTCCGGGTGGCCCTGAGGCTGGCTCTGAGGACTTGCCTGTGCTGTGCACAGGACTCCTCCCTTCTCTGCGCTGTGGGCCAGCCCTCAGGTGGTCCTGAGGTGTGGCCTTCTCCCTCGCCCTCCCTGCTTCTAGTGCAGAGGATGCCAGCTGCTTCTCTGGCTGCAGGAGTCTGATGAAGCTGCCCCAGCGTGTTGACCCTCCCTGGCACTGAGCCTGCACAGGCACTATTTCACGTGCGCGGGCCCGGGTTCCTGGAGCGAGATGAGAATACTTCACATAGTGTACATGGCAACGGGGCCAAAGTGCTGGCCTATGTGTTGTGAGGTGGGCCTGGGCAGTGTCAGAAACTTTAGGACCCCAAGAACCTCTTTAACAGATCTAAGGAGACTTTTTCTTTTTGTGTGTACACCTCTAAAAGCCATGGACTTAGGCAACAGACGGTTCCATGGCTTCTTTTTATTTATTTATTTTGAGACAGGGTCTCGCTGTCTCCCGAGTGCAGTAGAGTGGTCACAGCTCACTGCAGCCTTGAACTTGGGAACTGCTCCAGCGCCCCTCCCACCTCAGCCTCCTGAGTAGCTGGGACCACAGGCGCAGGCCAAGCCTGGCTCAGCTCTATGGCTTGTAAGAGGGAAAAGGCACTGGAGAAGAGTCAGGTCCACTAGGGAAGAGAGCAGTCCGTGGCCTCGGCCACCAGGTGGCATCACTGACCATTCTGGAAGAGCAGCTGGTCCGTCCGGGAAGCCACATCCCCTAATGCTCCCCTTGCTCCCTGGCCTCTGCCCCAGGGGAAGGGCCCATCTGTCCACCAAGGGGATCGCTCTGGACCTGGGGCACCAGCATCTGCACGTGTCCCCAGGCTTCCCAGCCTCCCTCCCGGCTCACGTCCCACGCCTGTCCCCAGTCCTGCCCAGAGGAGAGCCTCGTTCTGATCCTGGCTCCAGAGCCGAGCCGCCGGACAGGATGAACAGGACAGAGCAGTGCAGGGGAGATTTTTCCTAGCCCTGGCATAATAAAAAGAAAACCCAAACGCTTTTCTTATTTTTAATATCTAAGATTAAAAAAACCCCAATCCCCAAACCTAAACAATCCGTGTGCGTGTCGGCGCAGGCCTGCTCTCAGGCTCCCTTTCCATGGCATCCGCTGGGCGGCTCTCAGGCCCCGGTCCGGGGAGAGCTCGGCGGTGGCAGGAAACGTCCTGGTCGCTCACCCAGCACTGGGACAGCCAGGGACCCAGCCTTTCAGAAAGGCCACCAGGAACTGTTTTTAAAGCATGTGGTCGCACTAGGAGGAAGTTGTCCCTTGAGGCTGAGCTGAGGGTTATTTCTTGTGGAGAAACTTCATTTTATTGCCTACAAAAAAGAAAATGAGAGATTTCTCTGGGCAGACAAAGAAGGGTGAGTTAAATCTTGCCCTTTTCATCCCAGATGTGGTGTGGGTAACTCGGCCCCACATGCCACCCCCGGGAGTCTCATCCCTTGCTCTGGAGAAGTTGAGGGGGCTCGTCCTTTCCCGAGTAGCCCCCCTCAGGGCTCCACAGGGCTCTTCCTCAGACTTGAGGGGGTTTGGAAGGAAGAGTGTCAGCGCTGTGGAGGGCTGGTGCCTGCTGTGGTAATAAAGGAAGCACCTGAACGTGGCACATCCCGAAGGAGCCAGGTGAGGAGAAAGGTCCTCCTCCAAGAAGCTCTCCCAGCATGCACCAGGCACAGACTGGCGCCTGCTGGCCCCGGTGTGGGTCCCTTGGGCCTCCTCTTTTGCTGTCTTCTTCATCCTCCCTTTTCTTTTTTTCTTTTTTTTTTTTTTTTTGAGACAGAGTCTCGCTTTGTTGCCCAGGCTAGAGTGAGTGCCATGGCGTCAGCCTAGCTCACAGCAACCTCAAACTCCTGGGCTCGAGTGATCCTTCTGCCTCAGCCTCCCGGGTAGCTGGGACTACAGGCATGTGCCACCATGCCCGGCTAATTTTTTATATATATATCAGTTGGCCAATTAATTTCTTTCTATTTATAGTAGAGACGGGGTCTCGCTCTTGCTCAGGCTGGTTTTGAACTCCTGACCTTGAGCAATCCGCCCGCCTCGGCCTCCCAAGAGCTAGGATTACAGGCGTGAGCCAAAGGGCCCGGCCCATCCTCCCTTTTCTAGTACTAGCCTTTTTACTCACAAAACCGCAGTCCTTATAATCCTTCCACCTCTCTTTGCCAGGGGCATCTGCAGGCGGGGCACGTCTTTACTGCCGGACACGCCTGTCTGGCTCCAGCCAAGCTCCCGACATGCAGTTCCCCAGGGGATTTGAGAGTGGAGGAGAGGATGGAGAAAGAAGACAGCTCTGGGGCCCAGGAAAGGGGCGGGGGGAGTTGTTTCCTTGTTTCCACTTTGGGGTCAGATTAGAACAGGAGGTTAAAATGCCAGTTTCTCCTGCCCAGTGCAGGCTGCAGAGCTGTGTCATGGAGGGCCCTGGCTCCAGTGGAGGGAACTGGCCAAGATGCCACCGCAGACAGTTGGGAGGAACAAGGGCTGGTGATGGGGACAGAGACCTCTGGGCCTTACCTAGTCCCTTCAGGAACTTATTGACACCGCTGTGCTCTCCACTGGGGAGTGTTTCCAGATACTCTTGGGCTCGGACCTCAAATAGACCTGTCGGCAAAAGAGATCCCAGCCATTTCAGTTCCTGGTTTTTGCACTTCTAAACACACCTATTTCCTAACCACCACAGAAAAGAGACCTTGCTTCTGAGACGAAGCTGCTCCTATAAACATGCTCTGAATCATGAGGTTTGTAAGAGTTTTTATTACTCTTATAATTGCCCAACCTTGTGCAATAACTGTCTTTGGAAAGCTATAAAGCCACCTTATACATTACATCCTATTTTTATTCAAAAAACACCTTCTAAGATTCTATACTGTGCCAGGCATGTGGTTTTATTTATTTTTATTTTTATTTTTTTTGAGACAGAGTCTCATTTTATTGCCCAGGCTAGAGTGAGTGCCGTGGCGTCAGCCTAGCTCACAGCAACCTCAAAGTCTGGGGCTCAAGCAATCCTTCTGCCTCAGCCTCCTGAGTAGCTGGGACTACAGGCATGCACCACCATGCCCGGCTAATTTTTTTATATATATATATATTAGTTGGCCAATTAATTTCTTTCTATTTATAGTAGAGACGGGGTCTCACTCTTGCTCAGGCTGGTTTTGAACTCCTGACCTTGAGCAATCCGCCCGCCTCGGCCTCCCAAGAGCTAGGATTACAGGCGTGAGCCACAGCGCCCGGCCTGGCATGTGGTTTTAAAGATGAACCTGGCTGCCATAGCAGTGGCTCACGCCTGTAACCCTATCACTTGGGAGGCTGAGGTGGGGGGATAGCTTGAGGCTAGAAGTTTAAGACCAGCCTGAACAACATGGGAAGACCCCATCTCTGCAAAAAACAAAAAAATTAGCTGGGTGTGGCGATGCTCAGGTGACAGAGTAAGAGCCTGTGTCAAAAACAAAAACAAAAAAACCGGAAAAGATGAATCAGGTGGTCCTGGACCTCAGGAGTTGTGGTAGTCCCATTTCCTTACATCCTCCCATAAGAGGACTATGGACAAATGGCTTGGTTTCCTGGGAGCCCACCTGTGAACTGAGGACGCTGGACAAGCCACCTCACAAGCCCCTCCACCTCTCACCCCTGGGGTCTGAGCTTTAGGCACTGTCTTTGCTTCTGACTGATCTTCCATGTAGAGAGTTCCTCGCAGATTATTAGTTTTTTTAGAGATAGGGTCTTACTCTATCACCCAGGCTGGAGTGCAGTGGCAATCATAGCTCACTGTGGCCCTGAACTCCTGGGCTCAAGTGATCCTCCTGCCTCAGATTCCTTGAGTGCCAGGATTTTTTTTTTTTTTGAGACAGAGTCTCACTTTGTTGCCCAGGCTACACAGTGAGTGCCGTGGTGTCAGCCTAGCCCACAGCAACCTCAAACTCCTGGGCTCAAGCGATCCTTCTGCCTCAGCCTCCCAAGTAGCTGGGACTACAGGCATGCGCCACCATGCCCGGCTGATTTTTTCTCTATATATATATTAGTTGGCCAATTAATCTCTCTCTATTTATAGTAGAGACGGGGTCTCACTCAGGCTGATTTCAAACTCCTGACCTCCGCCCGCTTTGGCCTCCCAGAGTGCTAGGACTACAGGCGTGAGCCACTGTGCCCGGCCGAGTGCCAGGATTATAGGTGTGAGCCAACTGTGTCCAGCCTCCTACCCAGGTTTAAGTCCCATCTGTAGCTGCCTTTGCCAACATTCTAGATTCTGGATTCCCAAAAGGGCTTAAGATGATGTAAGAAAGAGACGAATGATTTCTCTCATTTCTTACTCCTCTCCCTTATCCACCCCTATTAGTATGATGGAACCCAGGCAGGCAGGGACAGGGAGAGGTAGACAAGAACTCAGAGACCAGTGAAGGAGGGGTGAGAATGGGTGGTCTGCAGCGGTGCAATGAAGTGCAAGCTCCGTGGTCCTGCTATCCCCTCCACACCAGGCCAGCTGGGGCAGGTGCTCACATAGGCGGAGGGTGCTGGACCATTCTCTCCTCCTACTTTTCCCGGCCCCAGCCCACCCCTGCCCTCTCCTTCCACTCCCTGGGGAGAGGGGGCCACCCCAAGGAAAAGAAGCACTAACAGAGAGAGGAGGGGGAGGGTGTTCTTGGGAGTTTTGTCAAGTTGGAAAGAAGGGAATAGAAGGAGCCATTGCCAGACACAGGACTGTGGTTCTGGGAGAGCCCAGCAGAGGGACACAGAGGCAGGGGAGGGGCTGTGGCACAGCCACAAGCTCTCGGGGACAGGGGTGGGGGTGGGACTGCATACTGCTCCCGTCCTGCCTTAGCCCTGAGACCTTTCTCCCAGCTCCTCAGCGTCTGGAGTCTGGGCATCTCCAGCCGGCTCGGCCCAACATGGAAGACGCCCCTAACCCTTGGCATCCTGATGGCGCAGCTCCCGCTCCTGGATGAAGCCCCGAAACATCTGGGTCTCCATGAAGACCTCCAGGAAGCGGCGGAGGCTCTTGGAGGAGACAGCTTTGCGGAAGGCCTCTCGCTGCAGGGTCCTCTCCTCGCGCTCGCCCGACGTCAGGAACAAGGAGTAGTGGCCCACGGTCTCCACGAAGAAGCGGACAAAGGCTTCAGACACCACCTCGTTCAAGGGGCTGGACTCGGGGCCTGGGCAAGGGGGAGAAAGGCCAGGTGGGGTGAGGGCAGCGGGCTGGGCCAGAGTCCCTGAGACAAGGAGTCAAAGTACAGTAACTGCCAGTTCCCTTGACAGGAACTGCAATTGTCCCACAAAAAGGTTACCCTAAATTTTATTTTTTACCTTTTTTTTTTTTTAGACAGAGTCTCACTTTGTTGCCTAGGCTAGAGTGAGTGCCATGGCGTCAGCCTAGCTCACAGCAACCTCATTCTCCTCAGCTCAAGTGATCCTACTGCCTCAGCCTCCCAAATAGGTGGGACTACAGGTATGTGCCACCATGCCCGGCTAATTTTTTATATATATATATATATTAGTTGGCCAATTAATTTCTTTCTATTTATAGTAGAGACGAGGTCTCGTTCTTGCTCAGGCTGGTTTTGAACTCCTGACCTCGAGTAATCTGCCTGCCTCGGCCTCCCAGAGTGCTAGGATTACAGGCATGAGCCACCATGCCTGGCCTATTTTTACTTTTTTTATTAAACATTTTTTTCATTAAAAAAAATTTTTTTTTGGCCACAAGAAAATTCAGGAGAAAACCTAAGTTATTAAGTCATTTCTTCCCCTCTTTTTCCCCCACAGCCATCAGTCAGGGGTGATAGATCTTTCCCTACTTTACAAGATATTTTAGGGCCTAAATGGGAGAGGTAGGAGAGTTTTTCCCACAATTCATTGTTAGGGTAAAGTCCCCACGAGGAGGCTGAGCTCCCAGGTTCTCTCCTTGTGTCTCCCTTGACCATTTTCCCGATTAGCACAGGGTTGAGAGGAAGGGAAGCCACTGTCCACTTGATCCCTGACCCTAACGGTGGAAGGGGAGGGTCTGGGACGTGGCCCAGCACTCACTGTGCTTGCAGTCAGGGGACCCTTCCTCCTGGTCACAAGCCAGGTCGTTCCTCTGTTCCAGAATGTGTTCCAGCGCTACCTGCAGCTTGCGGGGCAGGATGGAATCCTCGTCTTCCATCTGTAAAGCAGAGGCAGCAGGTGGGCCATCGCCCAGTGCTGCTGGGGACGGTGGCTGCGTCCTGGCCGGCAGGACACACTGGGTACGACGCACGGCAGGCCTGGCTCAGTTCTCAGTTTCGTGGAAGGAACACAACTTAGAGCCAGAGGGCTGAGCGTTGAATCTTGATTCCACTTTTTACAAGCTGTGTGAGCCTCAGTTGCCCCATTTGTAAAAGCTCCCAATCAATATCTACCTTCTTGTGAAGATTAAATGCAATACAATTACTTCTTGAAATGCTTGGCACTAATGGGGCTACTCAGTAGATGTTTTCACTGCCCCCACCCTGTAGGGTGGCTAGTGCTAACCAGGGGGCCTGGCCAGGGCAGGGGACTGGCGTGATCCAAGGCTGGCTTTATGATCTGGGCCTTAGAGCAGGCGCATCTTGGGGAAGGGCCTACCCTGTAGGCCTTTGGAAAGCGGAAGAAATGATACAAAACAGCGTTAATGCTGCTGAACTTTCCAGCTATGTGGCAACTCCCAAGTTTAGAAGCAATCCATCGGAATGCCCAGAAAACCTTTCTGTAATTATTCTTTGCAAGATCTGATAGGAGTTAGACCTCTCTGGCAAATGATAAAAAAAGAAAACACATGTGTATTAGTTTCTCTGCTAATGAAAGTAATTTATGATCAGTATAGAAAACACATGAAAGTATTAAAACAATTTAAAGGCACGCCTAATCTGTTTTCTTGTCAGCCTACCTCCCCAAAACAACCAGCTTTGATGTTTTGGTGGGTTTTCTTTTCAATCTCTTTAAGATGCACATATATATATATTTCTTTCTCCTTTTCTCTTCTTAAAATAAGATCAGCAAAATAATGTATACAATTTGATTTCCTGACTTAATATTATATCACGAACTTTGTCATCAAATATCCTTTAAAAGCATGTTGAAAAAGACAAGCGCTTATAGTCATAAGCTGTACAAAGATTCTTGTTCTAATTGTTAGTTAGGGACCATTTTATGTCAGAACATGTGGAAATCACTCTTTGCCACGGCCCTTCCTCTTTGCCCCCTGCCTCTGTCTTGTCCTCCATCCAGCCCTGGCTTGGGGACACATGGCTCAACCAGCCTGTTTTGCAAGGCCAGGCCTAGCAGGAAGGAGCCTTTCCAGAACTGCACAGCTGAGCCCAGGACAAGGAAGAGGGAAGGAGGGAGGGAGCAGAGGGTTGGAACTGTCTTCACTCACCTGTCTGAGGAAGCGACTGTTGACCAGGTCGACCACAAGGACCTACAAGATGAGAGGAAAAGGGACTATTGTTGTCACCAGGGCTTCTAGGATACAGATGGACTCTTGGCTTTCCTCCTTCTTGGTACCAGAGAGGCAGCTGGGGTGGGGGTGAGGGGCACTGGTGCTTCCTGACATTGCCACCATAGTAGCCACAGATGGTGAAGGGCGTGGGGGGAGGGGCTTTCCTGCGCTGCATGCTCTCAACAATGAAGCCCTGAAGCCGCAGGCTGGGCTCCCTGCCCTGCTCAGACTGGCTAAGGCAGAGCTTCTGAGAATGTTTTTCGGAGAGTGGGTTACTCACTCAGGTGGGCAAAAGACGCCAGAGGCCCCCCTTGTTCCCACCCTATGTCTTCTCCTTCCTCTTTCCCCAAGCTGCCCACTTAACCTTGCCACTTCTCTCCAAGGCACAGGAGAAGAGTCAGGCTGCAGGCCGTGGCTTTCACCAGTTAAGGCCTTCAGGAAAAGGGACCTTCCTTCCTGCCCCAGAGTGGGGCTGAGACCCAGGGCCAGGACCAGGGCGGGCAAGTGAGGTGTCTGGGGTGTAAAATTGAAGGAGACACTGCTCAGACCTCAGCCAAGGCCATTGGCTATGACAGAGAAAGAGCCAGGGGCCTGGCTGGCCACCACAAGAACAGCTGTTAATGGGGGCTCTACCATATCCCAGAGTCCACCCAGGAGCCGAGGGAGGGTTTTCCTTCCTTCTGGCTCACACCCTCTGGGGCTGAGCGGAGCCATCTGCAGGAGCACAGGCACCCAGACGTTCCTCACCGCCCACAAGACCTGAGGCTGGGTTCAATATTGAATGGGGTGTTAGGACTCTCTGGGAAGTTAGAGGAGTAGCACCTAGAGACCCCGGAGAACTGCAGGACAGACAAACAGACATTCCTTCCAGTGCTTCAGGGCCCAAGTGGGACAATTTAGTCCCCTAAGGCTCCTTCTCTGACTGCTGGAAGTGGCCAGTACATGGGGCATTAACTGTTTAGAAGAAGGGGCTAGGCCAGGCACGGTGGCTCACGGCTGTAATCCTAGCATTCTGGGAGGCTGAGGTGGGTGGATCGCTCAAGGTCAGGAGTTCAAAACCAGCCTGAGCAACAGTGAGATCCTATCTCTACTATAAATAGAAAGAAATTAATTGGCCAACTAATATATATATATATATATATATAATTATCCGGGCATGGTGGCGCATGCCTGTAGTCCCAGCTACTTGGGAGGCTGAGGCAGGAGGATCACTTGAGCCCAGGAGTTTGAGGTTGCTGTGAGCTAGGCTGATGCCGCGGCACTCACTCTAGCCTGGGCAACAAAGTGAGATTCTGTCTCCAAAAAAAAAAAAGAAGGGGCTAGCAGCAAATAACTCCGGAAATGCCAGGTAAGACTTTCTCCACTTGGATGCTAAACTGAAAACCCAGAATTTGATAAGTAAAACATTTTAAGCTGGGTGCAATGGCTCGTGTGTGCAATCCCAGTACTTTGGGAGGCCCAGGGGGGAGGATGGCTTGAGGCCAAGAGTTTGGGACCAGCCTGGCCAACACAGAGAGACCTCATCTCTACAAAAAATAAGAAAAATTAGCAAGGCATGGTGGCGCATGCCTGCAGTCCTAGCTAATCTGGAGGCTGAGGCAGCAGGATCCCTTGAACACAGGAGGTCTGAGGATGCTGTGGGCTGTGATTGTGCTACTGCACTTTAACCTGGGGGACAGAGTGAGACCCTATCTCAAAACAAAAACATTTTGGTGTTTTTTTTAAGTGGTATGAAAAAGGACAGAGGACCGACTGGAGGAGCACCGTCTTGCTCTTAGGCAAGCATGAATTCCAGTTATTGCTGGATCCTGGGTGCTTTGTCCTTCAGGTGGGGTTGTGGGCAGGGAGGGACAGAAGAGAGGGCTATTTTTGACATCTGGCTAAGTTGTCCATTGCTGCCCTTCTCCATGGGCACTCATAGCAGGCATTGCATTTGGAAGAAAAACAGTGTTTGCAGTCACACAGGGTCGATAGAGGCAGACTCTGGGTAGGACCTGTGTCACACAAAGTCCCGGTGGCCCCTGCTCCCCTGACATCACGTGCTTGTGGGACCTTGGTCAGCCCCTCCCCTTGGCTCTCTGCACCCCCAGGAAGGGGGACGGGGACAGCTGGGAGCTCACCTCTTCCAGCGGCAGCTCCCTGAGCAGCGGCAGCGAGCTGGAGAGCAGCCCGATGAGGAAGGGGGTGGGCGAGCACACGATGTCAATCATGGCAGGCGGCAGCACCGGGATGTAGGTGTGCTGCCAGGTGAAGGGGTAGATGAGCGCCACTGTCGCGTGGCAGCACTTGGACAGGGTGCTGCAGCCAGGGAGAGAACAGGGAGAGGAGGTGGCTCAGTGAGGGTAGAGCACAGGGCCTTCTGAGGCTCCGGGGGTGGGCGGCTGCCATGGGAGAAGGTGCCAAGAAGAGAAGTGTCTGGACTCTTCCCAAAGGCAAGTAGGTTAGGAAAGGCGTCACACGTGGATCAGGCTGAACACGAGGCACTCAGAGTCTATGCGAGAGGCTCTGAGACACAGCTGCGGACGCTCATTCAGTGCCCTGCATAATTTTTCAATTGTGCTTTCACATATGAACTACTCTCGTGTAAGGTTTTGATTAAATCATCCATTTCCACCCTCTTCCCAAACAAAATAAAAACGCAAAAACGATTGAAGCCTATTTTCTCATGGATGCTCATGCTCTTACTGAAGGTGCTCTATATTTAATACCATAGCTCGAAAGCAAACTTTGTTCTGTTTCAAGCATTCTCTGAACCAAGCATGAATACTTGGATTTGACCTGGGAAAAGGAGAATAACTCTGCTGGTATCTACATGGCAGAAGTCAGCTCCAAATTAGTCCATTTTGTAAAAGTGAAACTATAATATATATTGTCCCTCCCCCAGAATGCTGGTCAAAGGATGATATGCTAGATGACTGAGGGCTAACCCTTTTAGGCCCCAAAACTTAAAAAAATAATAACATTGGGAGAAATACTGGGAGTCTCTTTTCAAGAATAACAGTCATAATGCAGCCTTTTATTGGCAAGCACTAAGCACTGTGATCTCTCCTTAGTGCTCTGTGCAGTGCCTGGATCCCTGCCCCGGCACTAGGCACTGTGATCTCTCCTTAGTGCTCTGTGCAGTGCCTGGATCCCTGCCCTGTCTTTTGACTGAATGAGGGGATTCTGCAGGGTTTATCAGTTTGATTATCAGTTCTATTACGCCACAAGACTGTGATGAATGGCAGAGGTGAGTGACAGCTGATTTTCTGTCTTCTTCCTCGCAATCATTTCTTATGCTGGTGAGCCTGCTATAGCAGCTTTTCTCTCTTCTCACTCTAATATGCTATTCCTAAAATGAGATGGGATTAGAAACCTTAGATGCTTGTTAGAAGTGTTTGTAATGTAAGAATAAAATAAAAGCGAGGGGCTGGGAGCAGTGGTTCAAGCCAGTAATCCCAGCACTTCAGGAGAACGAGATGGGTGGATCCCTTGAGGCCAGGAGTTCAAGACGAGCCTGGGCAACATAGTGAGACCCTGTCTCTACAAAAAATTTAAAAATAATAAAATAAAATTTAAAAAAGTGAGGGCCCAATGGCTTCTCTTTTTTAAAATATACATTAATATGTAAAGACCTTAGATCCCAGTGGGTTCTGCCATGACTATACTACGTCCTCTTCAGGGCAGGGGCCCTGTAACCAGCATTGCATTTGTTAGGAAGCCTTCTGAATGTCTGCCCATGTTCTCGGCTGTGCTCTGCTTAGGTCGAGTTGCGGGGAAGCCGAGTTCTGGAGAGAGGAATGTTCCTTTACTGACACCCGTGATGTCAGGCCCCTATAATCTCACTGTCATGAAACTTTCCTGAGCTCATTAAACAAAATTTATTAGCTCTGGCTTACTTGAGGGGAAAAGAGGTAAATTAAAAGATATTGGCTGGCTGGGTGCGGTGGCTCACGCCTGTAATCCTAGCACTCTGGGAAGCCAAGGCAGGCGGTCGCTCAAGGTCAGGAGTTCGAAACCAGCCTGAGCAAGACCCCGTCTCTACCAAAAATAGAAAGAAATTAATTGGCCAACTAATATGTATAGAAAAAATTAGCCAGGCATGGTGGTGCATGCCTGTAGTCCCAGCTACTCGGGAGGCAGCAGGATTGCTTGAGCCCAGGAGACTGAGGTTGCTGTGAGCTAGGCTGATGCCACGGCACTCACTCTAGCCCGGGCAACAAAGCAAGACTCTGTCTCAAAAAATAAAATAAAATAAAATAAAAATTAAAAGATTTTGGCTAACAAGTGAAATAAGCCAGAGAGAAAAAGACAAATATTGCATGATTCCACTTATATGAAAGGTACCCGGAACTAAGCAAATTCATGGAAACCAGAAGTAGGATAGAAATTACCAAGGGTCAAGGGTGGAGGAGCTGGGAAGTTATTGCCTGCTAGCTACAGAGTTTCAGTTTGGGATTATGAAAAGGTTCTGGAATGGATAATGGTGATGGTTGCAAACACTGTGAACGTACTTAATGCCACTAGACTGTGCACTTGAAAATGGTTAAAATGTTATGTTACATTGTATACACTGTTACATTAGTATATTTATTATACAAATTTTATGTTATGTATATTTTACTACAATAAAAAAACCAAAAACAAAACAAAACACCTAGCTTCCAGATGAGTTCCTCCTGAATCTAACACCCCATGAAACATCTTTAACCCTTTGCACTCGGATGTCGAGTGTGGATAATGTCGAGTGGATAATGAGAAAAAAGCAAGCAAGTGCAAAGGATTAAAATATATATTAGCTAATAGGGGAGGAAGTTCAAGAGATCTACCATACAACATGGTGATTATAGTTAATAACAATGTATTGTACTCTTGAAAATTGCTGAGTGCCAGGCAGGGTGGCTCATGCCTATCATCCCAGCTACTCCAGAGACTGAGCTGGGAAGATCACTTGAGGCCAGGAGTTTGAGACTAGCCTAGGTCAGCAAGAGCTTATCTCAAAAAAAAAAGAATTTAGGCCGGGCGCGGTGGCTCACGCCTGTAATCCTAGCTCTTGGGAGGCCGAGGCGGGCGGATTGCTCAAGGTCAGGAGTTCAAAACCAGCCTGAGCAAGAGTGAGACCCTGTCTCTACTATAAATAGAAAGAAATTAATTGGCCAACTAATATATATAGAAAAA